CTTGTATATTTTATTTTTTAGAAGGCATCATGCGCACTAAGCGACGTTGTGTTTTGGAAAGAAAACAGCCCTATAGTGGAGATGAATGGTGCTCTGGACCTGACACAGAGGAAGATGAGGAGAAGCCACAAACTCTAATCCACAGTAAGTTTAAGATTTACATACTCTCATGCATCAAATAAAATATTATTTTCTGGATTCAGCTAGCTATACACATTTTATGACATTAACCTAAAAGAACGCCTTTTGTGTTTGTTTAAATCAATACATGTCTTTAGCTCCATCTAATGTATAATCATAATGCATTCCATGTTATGCGAATTACAGAATATTTAGATTGTGAAACTTTTTTCTTTTAGGAGAAAAGACCTTGGTTGGCCCTGTTCAGAGTCTACGTGATCTCCAGTCAGAACCTGGACCAGAGCTGAAGGTGGAATCCAAACAGACTTTAAAGCAACTAGTGTATGTTTTCACAACCAGCCTGGCCAACAGGTACAGCACATGTTTTTCAAGTAACCATCTGATTCTTTGAAGAACAGCTTTTTGATGTTTATGTTTTTCAGTGCTGCAGATGCTGTATTAAAAGGCCAGAGTGATTCCATTCTGCTTTTTCACCAGCAAAATGTTCCTCACTCCAAGTTGGAACAGGTAGGCTGTAAATCATATGCTTACATATGACAGTGTCCCCTGCTTTAATCAAAGGTTTTAAATCGCATTATTATGGGATGAAAATGTTGTTTTAATTGTTTACAAACCATACATTTTTCACCTTTTTCACAGTCCCATCCAGCAAGGAAGAAGTCCTCTAATATGCCAGAGAAAGTAAGATCTAGCAGCTCCCCGCCCAGTTCCACACCTAAATCTCAAAGCGGGACTCCACGACCATCATCAGCAGGTGTAATGAGCACGGCACTTCGAGTTGGGACTCCACCTTCATCCAACAGTGAAATGGCTCAGACTAGAACCAGCGAGGCATCCCATACAAATTTCACCAGGTTAGAGGGTGGTTGTTTGCCAGCAGACCAAGTACCAGCAACTAGAGATAGAGAGGCAGTCGGAGGCATTGTTCTTCCTATTCCAACAGTTTCTCCTTCTCAAAGCCCTACTGTCCAGTCTACACACCCACAAAGTGCTCAAGCTCCCAGACTGTGCCCTGAAAATCTTTCTAAAGAGCAGCTAGAACACAGGGAACGGTCTTTGCAGACATTGAGAGACATTGAGAGACTGTTTCTGCGCAGTGCAACTAATGCTGGATCTGGAGATCCAGACAGCTCTTGCAACAATCCCAACAACCCTCCTAGCGTTACAGAAAGGAGTAGCATTCTGGATGGCAATGGCAACGGAAAGGCTATTTCTGGATGTGGGACTAATAATAATGTGCTTTCCACATCTCCGATGGGGAATATGAGGAAATATGAGGAACCACTCCAATCTATCATTTCTCAAACTGAGTCACTACGTGGACCACAAATAGAACATCATGATATAGACCACCCCCATCACCAGATGTCCCCATCTGGGATGGACATTGGTCATTTACTTGGTCCAGAAGGGTTGACTCCTGAACAAATTGCCTGGAGAAAACTCCAAGAGGAATACTATCAAGAGAAGCGAAGACAACAAGAGATACAATCTCCGGTTCATTCTGAAAATTATAGAGTATCTGAAATGGGAATGCCTGGAGGTCCCATGATGATGAGAGGACCACCTCCCCCCTACCATAGCAAACCTGGAGAGCAGCAATGGGCAAACAACATGATCGGTGGGGGAGTTAGAGGGAATACACAAATATTAGAAATGCCAGAAGGACCTCAGGGCCCCAGATTTTTAGGTCAAATCCCAAGAGGCCCACCAGGGGGAGGTTTTCCTGGTAGTCCAGGGCCATTTCCTTTGGAAGCTGTAGGACACCAAAGGCCAACTCGACCAGGAATGCTCTGGTTAGATGAAATGCCCAATAATAAAGGGCCTGTAAGTCAATTTCAAGGCCTTTATACTGGTGGACCTCCTCAGCATTTGCAAGGTAATACAGAATCTTCTAATCATCTAATTGCACGTGAGGAAATATTGCATATTTTGGAAAAACGTCAGATGCAAGGACTTCCAAGAAGTGAACTTGTTCGACTGGCTAAACAGTTGCAATACAACATGCAAAGACCAAATCGAGTGATCCGCCGAGGTACACCTTCTTCTCAAAATGATCCCATGGACTTTCCCGTTTCACATGTTATTTTGGGTTCACCTGGAGCTGGCCCTCAGATAAAGGACTTGGTAGATTCTCCTCTTGGGAGTAATAATCCTCTGAATATGAAACAGTCCATTAATGTACAGCAACATCAGCAGTTAAATTTAACTCAAAAGCTTAGAAGTTCTTTAGAAGTTGGATCTTTGAGTGAAATCTTTGGCCCTGCTGCAATGTCCCAAGCAAGAAACTCACAAAATAGACGAGAAGAAAATAGGGGATTTAACCCTGGTCCTGATGGTCCTTTTCACTTTCCAAACCAAGGTCCTTTCACTGGACATGTTGAAGGGCCTTATCTTCAAACTAATTCTGAAATGTTTGAAGAGCAGGGCCCAAACCAAATGGGAGGTACAATGCGGCTCAGTCATATGCCAATGACAGAGGGTTTTAAGGGTTCAGATGCCAGAGCAAGACACCCCTCGGATCCAACGCTGAACCTTCATCCTTTAGCCTCTCCATCACTTCCTGCACCTCATCAACTCAATTCTCCGTCAATTGACCAAGTCCCATCACCTCTTCTGCCTTCATCCTCAGGGGCAGGAATAAAATCACCTACCCAGATGTCTTCTGGGGCACATCAGCCTCCTGCTCTTCCTCCCGCATCAGGGGCTGGGACTCCTTCTTCCATAAAGTCTCCTCAAGTAGTTGGCTCTTCCACCCATGGGCTGCACTCTCCCTCAGCCTCACCAGGACAACTCAAGTCTCCCACTGTTAGCGGAGCTGCTGGCTCTCCTGGATGGACATCTCCAAAACCAGCTCTTCCAAGTCCTGGTCCAGCCAGTGGCAAAATGGTGGGCAATGGTGGACCCTCTCTTGAGACGGGTAAAGACTTTATTTTGGTTATATGATTATATTGTATTTGGCACATGTACGTTGTAGGTCATATTTTTTTCTGTTGTGTTTCCAGGTCAATCACTTCCTCCCAGAAGTTCTAGCTCAACACCAGTTAGTCAGCCAGGCTCCACAAACACAAGTGTACCATTCACTTCCTCTACTGAGGCACTTCCTTCACAGAATCCTCTGTCGTTAATAATGTCTCAGATGTCCAAATATGCTATGCCCAGCTCCACCCCTCTCTATCATGAAGCGATCAAAACCCTTGCCAGTTCTGATGATGAGATGCTGCCAGACCGCCCTCTTCTGTCTGGTGTGTGTATTGGAGGTAAGAATTCAAACAAATTTGGCAATAAACCATAAAAACACAGCACTATTTCACATTTGTATATGTACTCAGGAGTACATATTTTTATATAAAATCTAACAATGTTTTTTCAAATGTCTGTAGGAAACGCCCAGGCATCCCAGTTGCTTGGTCCAGAAACACAAAGCCCCATCAGTCACGGTCAACCGCAGCTCTCTCATGAAGCAACAGGGCCAATGCTTTCCTCACCAAACCAAATGGGTCTGTCCTCCATGAACTCTGTGATGGTTGGAGCTGGTGTCCCTGATGGAATAGTTTCATCTTTATCTCAGAACCAGATGGGAGGCTTTCCTCGCCTGCAGTCTCATGGGCCCTTGCACTCACCAGTGGGAGCAATGGTCCAGAACTTCACACAGTCTAATGACAGTATCCTGCCTCCTCAGCAGCTGCACATGATCAGTAAAGGCCACCCACACCAACGACCTCCAGATTCATTCAATTCTCTGCCTATGGGAGACGGCCCAGATCTAAGTGAAGTAATACGTCCTACTCACACAGGTATTCCTGAGTTCGATCTTTCCAGAATCATTCCTTGTGATAAACCCAGTAGTATACTTCAGTATTTTCCCAAGAGCAATACAGCTCATCAGAATCCATCTCAAGGACCACCATCTCAACACAGCTCTTCACAGCAACTACTCAAACAACTGTCTTCATCTATTGCTCATGGCAGTGGCCCTTCATCAAACCCACATATAGCTAACCTACAAAATATGATGGCCGAACAACAGCTGCAGCCTCTGTCACATAGTGTAGGGCGCCAAGGCATGGGAGCTTCCAGAGGTATGGTGTCTGGTGCAGGGATTGGTCCAATGTGCCCCCCTGGACATATGATGGGAAGAACAGCCATGTCTTTGCAGCAGCAACAGCATGGCATGATGCCCAGCAACACTCTGCACCATTCAGCCAACCCATACCAAGGCATGATGCCCTCTCAACAACACTCTCACAACACTATGGCACAGCACAACATGATGATGATGATGCAGGCCAAGCAGCAAGGGCTGGCTTTTCCGGGTGACCCCTTTGGTCCCCAAGGACCTCTAATGTCCCCTCAGGGTCCAATGATGGGCCCGCCCCAACCGGGCATGATGGGTCCTCAGTCAATCAGGCAACGGGGAACACCTATGGACAGTCCAATTAGCTATGGATCAGGGGGTATGGCCAATATACCATTCTAATGAGTAGAACATTACATTAGCACTGGGTAAATATTGTCAATTTATGTGACTAAATATTTACATAATTTAAGAAAAAAAATACATTGTAAAGATGAGGTAACAACAATGATCAGATTTTAAACTATTAATCTGAAGCCATTTTAAAATGTAATATATGTAAATTTGCAATATAATTGTTGTGCAGAGTGGCAGTAAGGAGAGTGCCTCAAATTTCTATTTGTTTTGATGCTATTGATTTATTTTCTCAAAGCTAATGTGCAAAAGAGTAATAGAAAAATATAATATATACCTGCTGTATATATCATGCAATTTGTGATTGTTTTTTGCAACTGTTCTGTATAACTGTGTTTTATTAGAAGTCAAATATAATACAACAATCTCTGAACTGACTTTATTTTGGGTTTTCATCTCTTGAAAATATATCAATATTAAGCAAATTACATAATTACTTTATTGCGTCTTTAGATCATGTTTTCACAAGAAATTCTGATATCAGTATCACATTAAAACCACAATGTAATGTACAATGCAATGAAACACATTTCAAAAGTAGGACATTCGGCACATTTACAAGCATTGCAAGTATTTCTCTCAGTAGGTGCTTGTGGTTATTGCACCCTCTGAAATGGATGGTTGATTGTTATTCCGCATGGTCATTAATGGCAGACACACCCGACCACAACCAAGCTCACAGAGTAACTGAATAAGTTCATTTCGGAAGCGCACCCCAACAAAAGCATAAAGAAAAGGGTTCAGACAGCAGTGGAAATTGCCAAGGCATTGTGTCACCTCTAAAGCAGAGTTCAGTGATGTGTAATAATTACAGGTAACATTTTGAATTAATTGTAGTTCCACCAAAGTATTCATCAATAATGTAATATTGTAAGGAAGCCAACAGAGACAAAACACAAAGGTTATGAGTAAAGCTAGTCGAATTGCGCCTTGTTTAGCCTGATTCTTTTGACTTTTGTACAAAGTGCCCACTATAGCAATGTAACAGTAAGCCATAACAGCCAGTGACACAAAAAAGCACAGATGATTTAGAACTCTGTTAGTGTGAAGCCAGTTGTTTGCATGGATTCCATACCCATAATAAAAACAAAAAAGGTTTGTTACATTTGTTTCATCCCTTATCACTGTCAAAAAGACTATATTTGGAACTGAGAACCCCAAACAAACCATCCATAGCAAAATGCAAATGAGATGTACTGTTTTGGGCTGTCGAATTTGGATACTAGAAATGGCATGAACAATAGCCAAATATCGATCGAATCCAATGCAAGCAAGAAGGAAGCTTCCACACAGATGGTTTATGTTTTTCAACAATCCTGTTAACTTGCACATAAACTTGCCAAACATCCATCCAGTCACAGCATCAGCCGCATCAAATGGAAATGTAAAGAGCAACATGAGGTCGGCCACGGCCAGATGCAGAAGGTAAATCTCAGTGATGCGGAGGAAGTGCCGACGTCTCAGGAGAACCGTGATCATGAGGCCGTTGGCTGCAACACCCAGCACAAATAGCAGGCTGTAGAACACAGGCAGGAACACGGCATGGAAGTGCTGCATGGCCTTCTCCTCTGTCTGACAGCTATAGTCATACAGGTCATAGTCTGTGACATTATCAGACTCTGCCATGCCCACTGACTGAAAATGGAGAAAATGTACACTGTTTATAGAAATCACAGTGGGTGAGATTATTTTCACTTCCCCTTTTTTATAAGTAGTATTCAACAACATACAGAACAAAGACTCAAGATTGCTCTATAACCACATATTACCATATATGCTTGGTTGATGCGCATTTAATTTAAAGATCTTGTCAGAGTGGCCATATGTTCACAATGCCATTCTGAGGCCAAAGCATTACTCCCTCATTTATTGACATCACCTGTGTTAGCATTGTTCATGTGCTATGTATACTATTAACCAATGGCAGGTGAAATGACACAAGTCACATTTAAGATTCTCATTCTTGCAAATAATAATAATAATAATAATAATAATAATAATAATAATAATAATAATAATAATATAATAAACTTGTAGTATATGTACAATATATTTCACAAAAACTGCTAAAACTAAGCAACACCAGCACAAATTGTTCTGCAAGTGTTCTGAAAAATATGAATATAAAAATGTTTTAGGTCTTACCTCGTACACAGTATAGGTTGTCATATGTGTCTTCTTGATGAGTGGGTTGGGGTAAATTGACTAACTTCCTCTTACCTTTCTTACATGTATTGCAGTCACTGGTCTTTATCCATTTATTTTTGGGTAGTCAAAACTTTCCACAAAATTTTACTACAACCAAAACAATCAGAAAACAGAAAAAGAGAAATACAAAGGCTGAAGTTTGAGCCTTAAAACTTAATATTCAAAGAGCTGTAGCATATATAGAAGTTTTTGCTGTAGGCAATAATTCATTAAAGGCCATCTTTTAAAATATAGGGCTATAAAATATGTTGCAACTAAATGTTTCAATCTGAACTTAGCTTTGATGATTACTTCCACCTTTTAAGGGTGATTTGTCACAGACTCACTGAAGGTAACATGAAATAGTGTAGTAATGAGGGACTGAGTTCTAGCTCTTAATGTGTGTGATAGTGGAAGCATCACAAATAGCAGAGGTGTACTTTAATTTCAACCCTAAAACCCTATTATCTTAAAATATACATAGCCTATTCAACAAAGTTTAAATTATATTGGGTAATCGTTAAGTCTGTTGATTTTTGAGACTCCTAGTTTTGCTACGTGATAACAGTGTAAGAAATAAAACATGAAAAAAGTGTATGGCGATCATAAATACTCTAGCCAATGTGATCCACATACGGTCTATGATAACAACATCTATCTAAGACAACATGCCTAGAAGAATTGATCAAGTTCTGCAATGTATGTTTTTTTTTTTTTGTTTGTTTTAGTTTTTACTATAAATTGTCATATTTTTCCCTTGCAAATGCTCAGTACAACTATTAATAACAACTTCAAACCAATTTTAAGAGGCCCTGAAAATAGTCAAAAATCTGATTCTGTCGACAGGGGGCGGGTTCATATAGAGCGGGGGCCATCTTGGACACTGGCTTGTCAGGGCTTTTTCGTAGTCAGCTAAAATCAATAGCTACACCTTACAATCACCGCTACAAAGATTGGTCAGTTAAAAATAAAGGTAAGGCAGACGGCTTTAAATAACATTGCACGCCTATCGCGTTTTTATACTGATAGGACATGAGGATTTGTGCACTGGTTATTCGCAAAGTGAATATTCGCCACTGTTAGCTATTTATGCTAGTTAGCAACGATCACAGGTCCCGAGCAGGCCTGTACAAGTTAACGTCACCGTACACTATATATATTACGGATCGTAAATCCCGAAAGTGGTATTATGAGAACTTACTAAAAGTTTATTATTTTGGTTAACTAGATCAAATTAACAATGTTACTTAAATTTTTCCTACAAACAGCGAGCCAGTCTTGTGACGGGAGCTACATTCTGGCTAACATTAATGCTAAAATGTTGGAACATTTTCTAGTAACGCCACATAAAATTTTAATTGCTCAGATATTAACTGCTGTGTTGTCGTTAGTTGCCCTAAGGCTTATTCGCCAGGAGTGAAGGACATAGTTTGATATAGGAAGAGGAGGATATGACTTTGTGTCGTGATATTATTAGGTCGACGGCATAAATAATCCCTTAACTCACATTGTTAGCCGTATTTAAACAAGGCTATTCGATGGTCCAGGTTAGTATTGGTTCTAAGGATTTGATCTTATTTGAACACTTAAGACCAATACTTTTGTTTACCGAACTAGCGAAAACGAATGGAATGGCAACGGCCTCTGTAATTAGATATGCCATGTTTACAGACCTGTTTAATAACATCTGTTATTCTATGTGTGCAGGATTGGATTTGTGTGGACTCAAAGGCCAAGCTATGCAAGATGGCTAGCTAAAATAGTGAACCATAACTTCAAAGCTTGCTTCTTGATACCTCTTAAAATTGTAAAAGATTCCATTTGAACCTGCCTATGAGATAAGAACCTGTGTGGTACCCACCAAGATAAGAAGAAACCAAGTAACGCCATTAAAAAGTTGTCACATATTTGTGACCAATCCGTTTCTTTGGTACACTAAAATTCAGTTGTCATGAGTACTGCAAGAACAGAGAGCCCAGTGATTTTGGGCTTGTCCAACCAGAATGGACAGATCCGAGGCTCAGGGAAGCCAGGAGGAGGAGGAGGAGGAGGCCCTCAGCTAAATCCTATAAAAGGCACAATTAACAACGGAGAGACTCTGCCAGCTACTACAACCAATGCTGTTATCAAGTAAGCAAAACCAGCTTTGATCTAATTGAATTTCACAAATGTGCACATGCTAAATTAATTAATCTCACAGACCTGGGGATGACTGGAAGAAGAATTTGAAACTACCCCCAAAGGATATGAGAATGAAAACATCGGTGTGTTTCATGCAACAGCATATATCCATGTTTGACTTGTATTACCACTACTAATTAAAGCCATTTTTATTCCAGGATGTCACAGCAACTAAAGGCAATGAATTTGAAGACTACTGCCTAAAACGAGAGCTACTAATGGGAATATTTGAAATGGGCTGGGAGAAACCATCTCCTATTCAGGTACACTGTCATCTACAACTAATGCAACTTCCAAAACAAGGGGAAAAACCCTCAGAAACAAGTGCCTTGAACCTTTAGCCTTATCTACAGACTGTTTCAGAAATCTTAACACTTCTTTGGTTTGCATGACCTTGAAAATGGTTCAACTTTTTAGCCTTGGTGGCTTGGTAGTGCTTGGTGGAAGCCACCATTATTATGCCACTGTTTCATGGACAAAGCTTGTTTTATAAACTGCATAATAAATTAAATCTGTTGAATCTGTGGGTGTTTTTATTCTAGGAGGAAAGCATCCCCATTGCACTGTCAGGACGTGATATTTTAGCCAGAGCCAAAAATGGCACAGGGAAGAGTGGAGCCTACCTCATTCCCTTACTTGAACGCATTGACCTGAAGAAGGACTGCATACAAGGTGAGAGGCCTTTATATGAAGCATCCAGTAAATTATCTGAAAACCTTTTCAGTTGTCAACCATATCTGTGTGGCAGGGTTTGGCAAATGACACATTTATTTATTCTGTGCTTTCTCTTTTAGCGTTTGTCATAGTGCCCACTCGAGAACTGGCTCTGCAAGTAAGCCAAATATGTATCCAGGTCAGCAAACACATGGGTGGGGTGAAGGTGATGGCAACTACAGGTGGAACAAACCTACGTGATGATATCATGAGGCTTGATGAAACAGGTGACTGTCCGTTACAGCTGTTTGACTGAAAGCCTCTTCTGAGCTGTAGTCTTTTGAGTTTTCATCATGTCCATGCTGTCTGTGTTCACAGTGCATGTGGTGATCGCCACTCCCGGGCGAATCTTAGACCTCATTAAGAAAGGAGTGGCCAAAGTCAATCAGGTGCAGATGATAGTGCTGGATGAAGTGAGTTCCATTTTATTTAATTGTTTGTTGTTGAAACTATGTGCACCTAATCTTATATTTGTACCTCACAGGCAGACAAACTGTTGTCACAGGACTTTGTGGTAATGATGGAGGAGATCCTCAGCTTTCTTCCCAAACAGAGACAGATCTTACTATATTCTGCCACTTTCCCACTCAGTGTGCAGAAGTTCATGGTATATTCACTCAACTACCAACACTTGCCATGCAGCTGACCTGTTGGTAACTGAAATGCTTTGTTGCAGAATTCACATTTACAGAAACCCTATGAGATCAACCTCATGGAGGAGCTCACCCTGAAGGGAGTGACCCAGTATTACGCTTATGTAACTGAACGGCAAAAAGTCCACTGCCTCAACACCTTGTTTTCCAGGGTAACACTCTTTCCTCCTTTTTATTTAATAATTTTTCAAAATGTAGGGCTCTTGGTATTATTTGATTAATAACATTGGAATTGTGTATAAAAGCATATTTATTTTCATTTTTAGTGTGATTAATATTTTTGTTTCTTTTTACTCAGCTTCAGATCAACCAGTCTATAATTTTTTGCAATTCCTCTCAAAGAGTTGAGCTGCTTGCCAAGAAGATTTCTCAGCTGGGCTATTCATGTTTTTACATTCATGCCAAGATGAGACAGGTTGGTACATTTTAAACTATATATAAACTTAAATGTTTATTTAGGTTAATTATTTGCTAAAATTGTTTGTCATCCTGTCACACTTTTCAGGAGCACCGCAATCGTGTTTTCCATGACTTCAGAAATGGCCTGTGTCGTAATCTAGTGTGCACTGGTGAGTGGTAGAACAACATTTAGTATTCTGTAGCAGTCTCTAAGAATGCAAATAAAGTTTACAAAAATAAACTGCGTCACAACATGATAAAAAACATGTACTTTGCGAGATCAAAGTAATACTACCACTAAGTAATAATAGTTTAAATTATGCTGTTTCCACTAGATCTTTTCACCAGGGGAATTGACATTCAGGCTGTGAATGTTGTCATTAACTTCGACTTTCCCAAGCTGGGAGAAACATACCTGCATCGTATTGGAAGATCTGGTAAGACATTACATTTTGCATTAAAAAGTCAATTTGCATTTGAATATCTATTAAAAGCCAATTTTTATTTCAGGGCGCTTTGGGCATCTTGGTCTTGCAATCAATCTGATCACTTACGATGATCGCTTCAACCTGAAGGGCATTGAAGAGCAGCTCGGAACCGAAATCAAGCCCATCCCTGGGATCATCGACAAGAGCCTTTATGTGGCAGAGTACCACAGCGAGAGTCATGAAGAGGCCAAGCCATGAGCAGTGAGTACCTCCGTACCTCCATAAACAGTCATAAACACGTACTGAGCCTATGCAGGCTTTCAATGCATTCTCTCTCTCTTCTACAGACCAGTCCACCTTCCATTCCCCTTACTTCCCTCTCTCTTTTTTTTTTTTTTTTTTTTTTTTTTTTTTTTAAATGTACAGTTTTTTTTTTTTTTTCTGGGTGCCACCGTAAGGATTGTGTTTTTGGGCCGAAGTATTTGGGAAGAACTCATTTACCTAGGCTTTGTGCTGCACCATCACATTGAAGACAAGTGCACGAAGAGGAAAGCTTTGGACAAAGTAGAAATGTGCACATTTTGGTGAATCCTATCCATCAGTGACGCTAAGCCAGCACCCACAGACCCCCGACCATGCCCTGTCAGCTTATTTTTTTCTTTTTAGAAAATTTAAACCAGTTTGTATCAAGTGCCTTAACAAGCTGTTCAACTTCTTCAAAAGTAATAATCCTTGTGACGTCCTGTCTCACCTCACACTGTTCACCTACTGAAAGAAATGGTCAGGCACCTGTTGTCTGACCACACAGGTGAATCCATAAAAGTTTTGTCACCACATTTTCCAGAAAAGGGAGGTCTGCTGGAGTTTTCTGTTTTCCACTGGCTTTGATGCACAGGTCTGGCTTATTATTAAAGATGAACTTGGATTCATTTGGACAAACACTGGGTTTTTCAGAGAGACTGTCCAAATGCTTTCAGAGGCCCTGGTCTTTTCCTCTTGTCTTCACAATGGAACTCTAAAGATGGACTTGCTGCAGCACCTCAACATCACCACATGAGGATTCCTGATGGAGACGACTAGAGGAGCTTTTAAGCCCACTTTCACTTTCCCAGTGGATGGCCACACTGTTTAGAGGCGTGCAGCCTGTATGGGGTGCATGTTTCACCTTGTGTATATACTTTCATTTTAGATTGTTTTAAACAAGTTTATAAGGCTGGTTGATAAACTGAAAAACAACATACTCTTTTGTTATCACTGGAGATCTTATGCCAGTTTCTTTTTGAAATTGTGGCTTCTAAATTTCTCAGTTGTGAAAAATTCCAAGTGATCATAAGCTTAAGACTGCATGAAATGTTTTGGACAATTTTGAAACTCCTTCAGATTTGAAGGTAGGTGTGATTATTTTAGCTGCACTTAAATTATTGACTCTTTGACTTGAGATACCAGTGTTAACAAGTATTGTTTAGACAGATGGCTTTTTAAAGCTTGTGCATATGAGTGTTGAATTCTCTTATCACCAGCCTTAACTTGTAAAACCTGAGACCACCGCTACCATCTAGGTCTCTGTGAATCATGAATGGCCAATGATTTTTGTCTTGGTAGTACAAGTGCTGCAGTGCAGCTAAATTGTTAGATAATCTGTATTTTGGGGAAGGTACTTTACTGTTACGTTCATCTTGGCTTTAGGCACAGCTCCTGATTAAGAATGAGGGAGGAGATGTTGTGTTCTGTCCCCTTTTGAAAAAAGTCAACTGAGAGCATCCAAAATTATCACCCTTAAATGTAGCAGCAACTCGTGGTCTGTGCATCTGTGCAGCTCCACAAGATGCTTCAGTCTGATTGGCTGCTGTTAACAGAAATAATGGGTTTAGGCAATAATGGACTGCACTGCTTTTTGTACACTTCTGACCCAGATAAGATTTTTATTTTAAAATTAACTAAAAGGGGAATGTTGAAGGAATGAAAGTATTTGGTCAGGCTGCTTATTTTACACAGTGGGTAACTAAACCTACTCATTATCTTCCCCCTCCCCTGAATTTAAGTTTTTGTAGGGATTTTCTTTTGATAAAGTGCAATTTCCTTGTTGTGGTGAGATGCTTTAGGTTCTAATCAGTGAGACTTAAAAATAGCTATTTATTTAAATTAAAATATTGTCTATAATCCTTAATTCTCATTGGTTAGAGTGGATCCCTGTTCTTACTGCTTTAGTCCAGTACATAGTTTTGCACATGGGGAAATTGGTGTGGGAGGGTATTCAGAACAGTCCAAATTTGTGCAGTTTGTGAGAACAGGGATTCTACCTTCAGACACATGGCAGCTGTCTGTTTGCTGACAGCCTCTGACCGTACAAGCCAGAGACACGTAACACCAGAAGGCATTATGTTGTACTGGGCTGAGAGTGGCTCTACTGTCATGGGCTGCAGTCAAATCCTTAAAGACTGAGACAAGAGCATCTTGCCATGAATTGGGTAAATAATTACAAAATATATATCGAATTGTCTCATTCATTAAGGACTTTTAAAAAATATTTGGGGTGGTTAATTTGGTGGTCTTGCTGCCCTGATGCAGTCATTAATTTGTTCTAAAATATTCAAATACATTTGTGTTAATCTGGCTCATAATGGCGGCTCCTGATGTGCAGGCTCCTTGTGAAGCCTGTTTCAAACGGCTGCATCAGTTCATAAACGTGGGTGGGAGCCTTTCGGCATTAAGTAAGATCCAACGTTTTGGGATGGGATTGAAATTGTCATTAAGATGCCCTCAGACTTGGATTTTCTTTTTGTTTCAAATGAAATGTTCCAAGTGGATTTCATCTTGTTTAAAATATCTGCAAATTTAACAAGTTAAAATTGAGTTTTAATTTCATTACAATTTGGTCTAATTGGCAGTTTTTCAGTGGAGCTGAATTTTACTAGGATTTGAGTTAAAACAGGGAAAATTATCTGAAAAGTTTTGTTGAAAATAAAGCTCACTGAAATTTAACTTCCTGTGTGTCATTCTTCAATAATAGCTACACTGTCGCTAGGGGGTGCTGTAGAGTTTATACAACACCCGGCTCTATAAACTGGCCTGGTTGTCGCTGTATATTATTTAATCGCTTGTCTTCAGAGCAGTCTTTGGCTCCATCCGAAAAATGGGCAAAAATGCATTCTTCTCCTTTTCGCTGACCTCTGAGAGCTACGTCATGAGGTCAACTATAAGAACCAAGAAGGAGGAAAGAGAAGTGTGGAGAAGGAGCTATCGCTGCTTAGGTGGAGCCAGATCTTCCTAACCAGCTGTTCAGTCAAAACTACAACTCCCAGAAAACGCACTACAACAAGCGTCACCATCTCCACTACTGCGCGAGACTTTTGAACTTCTCATTCTTTACAGTCAATGTTTTATCAAATGTGCGCAAAACTGCATTAAATACATAATAAAACGGATTAATGTGGGTCTATAATAGATGCTAAATGCTTTATATGTTGTAAAGTTGAGTTTATTTACGCTGGAGATTTTAATTATTTGGGACTGTGAGATATCTCGTAGCTCCTTACCGCTGTTTAGGAACCTCCCGGGCTTCCTATGTTTAAGGCGCTATGAAAGGAAAAATAATTGCTCCGTTCCTTACTCCTTCCCAACTTCACTAATCAGTCCCATGATCAGTCCGGATGGTCCATGTCATGGCGGATGATGACGCACGTCCGAGCCAGTGATAAGGAAAGGAACTTCGTAAGCGCAGTTGCCCGCTTTCGGACGCACCGTTTGATTCACTATGAGCCTTTGGCTTGTTCTTCTTTGTTTCGCAGTATTTTTTATTTTCTGTGAAAATGTAGTTCTGCCTCCACCATGTGACAGGTAAGACCAAAGACTTGGTAAGACCAAAGACTTGGTTTATAAATTTGGTAAATACATCTCATAATAGTTTATCACTTGACTGGCTATTACAAGTTTGTTTGTTTTTTTCTGATAATGTCTATGCATTTTTTTATTTGTATGAAAAATATTAAATTCATAAGTATTGCATGTATAAAGGTTATGATGCAGTACAATAGTTTTTCATGGACCTTGCACTTCTAATTATGGTAGGTCGGTGTGCTAATGCTGTTTAATATTTTACCTTCACTACAGTGAAATTTATTGCACTGGGCCCATCCTGGATCAAGTACAGAAAGCCAAACTATATGATGATGACAAGTACTTTGTTGACATGAAGCTTAAAGACCCTCCTGGTAGGTCAAACTGATTGATTGCGTTTGGATTCCCAGGGGCTTGATTATGTATTTTCTACAGGTATTATTTTATTTGCATTTAAAAACCTCTCAAGTGAATCCCCGACTGTCCCACGGGAAAAACTGCAGGACTTCCTCAATAAGTATTTTGAGAAGCCAGGCACAGAATTTGAAACATGGAATCCACCAGACTGGCACAGCAAGTAAGAACTAATTCAGCATCTGGTACATGTAACCTTGTGCACCAAGATGGATGCAGAGTGCTACACATATTCATCATGTGTGAGCCAGGTTAACATACACGATCTAAGGCAGTGATTTTTAAAATCTTTCACACCAAGTACAATCCAAGATAACATTTGGCCTTCCGAATACCACCAGAGCCTGATCCTGAACTTTATCAGGACTAAGTTAGTGATAAGCTTGGCATAAAATTAGACTAATGGATAGTGTAGGTCTAATTAATGTTTAACCAAAAAGCAGTAATACATTTGTCTTTAAATAAAAGAAATTCTCTGTATACCACCTGAGGAAGCCTGTGTACCACCAGTGGTACACTTACCACCATTTGAGAAACACTTGTCTAATTTGAAGCAGGTTTTAATACTGAAATTGGTGCACTTTAAGCAACTGTTCTGGTGGGGGTTCTGCCCAATTGTCTCTAGAATGTTCCACACTATGGTTTTATTACCCACATTCACAGTAAGAAGTGTTCATGTTATGTTATGTAGTTTTTTTCATAGTTCACATTTAGATGAGTACTGCAGCCAATTAAATGTATCTATATGAATATTGACATTTTAAAGTGTTACTTTTATACAGCCCAGCATTTTTAAACAAAATAAATGACAAACAACTTCGTGAATGGGCTTTCAGTGTCCACAAACTCTGGAAACTACTGGGAAAAAAGGTGACTCTTTAAACTTAATTTTAACGTTTCAGTTAAGCATTCAGCTCAGACATCTTTGAAATAGTTTTATGTCTTTTGTTCTTACAGATTCGGGACAGTGTTAAAGATCACGCTGAGCTCTATTCACAGATTTATACGCCATATCCTGTCGTGGTGCCTGGAGGCCGCTTCAGGGAGCTCTACTATTGGTGAGAGTAGTGTCCTTATTCTGTATGCCCCGCTGCAGATGTGTCAGAGGGGCAGTTTCTCTCTGCACGGGTGAACAAGGCAGTGACACGACCCCCTCTGTACCCCTCCTCTATACCCCCCACAGGGACTCCTATTGGGTCATCAACGGACTGTTGCTTTCTGAGATGACAGACACAGCGAAAGGGATGATTCAGAACTTCCTCTACCTTGTTGATAGGTTAGTCTGGGAAGATGCTACTACAAATCATACATCAAAATGTATTTTAAATGGACTAAAAAGTGTCAGTCAGAACTAATATGCCACAACTGGATACAACTAAAAAGAAACTTATCTTTAGTTTAATCATTTTATTTTGGATAAATATTCTTACAAGTTTGATGTACAGTTGTTTTTGGTTTGTAATTTATGTTTTAAAATAAAATTAGGAATAGGACTCTGTTTTCAGTGCATTTCAGGGCATGGTTCTTTACATTATAATGTTAAATAATTTCAGCCTTGCTAGTCACAACAATTTTAAATTTTTATTCAATTGCTGTTTATCTTGTAGCCCTACTCATATCCACGGGTACTGCAGACAGACACTGCCTTAAAGCCACGTCCTCCTCACAATGCTTCACAAAGGGCTATGTCTGGCTGCAGGTGGATCGGCCTATTTGTTTAAATGTTAAGTCATTTGCAGCCCACGCCATTGACTTGTGAAATTATGTTCTCAGGGGAATGTCAGAATTGAAAGAGTCACAGATCTTCTCTCTCCTGCAGATATGGCTGCATTCCAAATGGTGGGCGGATTTACTATGAGCGCCGTAGTCAGCCTCCATTCCTCACTCTTATGGTGGAAAGCTACTATCAGGTCACCAAGGATAAAGAGTTCCTCAGGTGATATTTAGGCATATGCATGTGTCCTGTCGCACACATTCTCGTTCTTCTTCTATTTCCCCCAAATGCAAAAATGAGCACTTCCTCTGAGCCTCAGCCTGCCCTCTGCCCCCTTCAGCGGGGACAGGTTTGGCTACAGGGACTCTGGGTTATTTTCAGACACTGTTACACATTAGCTTAATTCAAGTGCGCCAAATTATATAATTTGATTGTGGCACGTGAAAGGTCATGGTGACCTTGAAACATTTCGCTGCAGTTCCCAAACCTCAGCTGCACGAATGGGTTAAACTGATGAAGAGCTGGCATTTATTGGAAAGGTCATTCACAACACTGCACTCTACAGTAGCTTCTCAGATCATTATTCAAAACACAAGCTTTTCAAAAATATTCAAACTTTGTTATACTGTACTACATTTTTTGTTCTACAAAATATTTTAATCTTTAACTATATAT